TTTTTTTTTTTTTTTTTTTTTTTTTTTTAACAATTAGGAGGTATCAAAACTGATTTTCTACATGTGGTATGGTATGGTATGGCAACAATTCATATCCAATGTGAAGTATTAACAGAGCAAGCGATTGTCTTGTATTCTATGAGGGTAATATTCATGTCCTTAATTATTGTGCAGACAATGCATTATCCTCAATTTTAATTAGTCCCTGAACTTAATTGTAATAATCCAGTAGATTGATAAAAATATTCTTGTTCTTTAAAGAAAATGCAGTTGGAACTATTCACAAATAATTTCTTATATGGCCAAGAACCTAGCTGTCCCTCTTGAAATGGAACAAATCTTTTGTGTGAGCCTCAGACAGGCTTCCAGAGTCCTAGCCAATGACTTCATTCACCACATGAGAGAGTTCCTGAGAAGAGTTGTAGTTTCTTCAGCAAGAAATTTTCTATTGTACTGAACATGGAAGTTAACTTTGAGCCAAACCTGAAGAAGCAGCAGAGACAATAATATGTGGGCCACGTATTATTTTGACAAATTGGAAGGCTATCTTTCCAGCAAGCTGAACTGGATATGATTTCTACATCTGGCTAAAAACAAGGTCTGTTCAAGTAAAAAAATCAGATATTTTTTCATTTAAATTGTACAGTAACTGCTTTGCTCCTGCCAATAATGATATCATCCCAAATTCATGCTAGTTATAAAAGTTTTCTAAGGACAAAACAATCCTGAAATTGGGGCTGGGAAGTTTAAGCAGCATAAATGAAAAACTGTTGAGGCAAAGGTCAGGAGAAAGATCTTTCCCTTTCCAGACAAACCTTCCACAAAAGCCTTGAAATGGACAATACCACATACAATTGAATTGCTTATAAAAATCAATTATATTTTTTCACTATTATTCTAAAGCTTGGAAGTTTTCAAAATTTATTGCACAATTTTAGCCGAAGTGCTACAATTACCTACAGTTGCCTTTGAAGTTGTAAGATTTTCAGTAAAGTATATACATATAAAGAATAACAAGAACAATGAAAGAATGCTAAAGATAGAGGGGATAGTACAAAAAACCCTCTGCATAATAAATGTTGGTGATGTTGCTCATTATATAATCTTAACTTTCTGAAATGGCCAACAAAAGCACTGAGGAAACTCCAGTCAATTTTTGGGGTGACACTGGAAATATGAATTTCTTGAATGCCCCAAAAATGTTCTCCCTATTCTTTGAATATGTTACGTTTCTTCTGCAATGGTCAATTCCATTGTTATGTCTTTCACAAATAGTTAAGTTTTATCTTATAAGAAAAGTTTGTTCCTGTCACAGTTTAGCCTGGACATAGCAATAAATCTCTCTGTGGAAATAGAAAAACATGTAACAGAAGGCTGAAGGATGGACTTAGATAAGTTATTTTTACTGCAGGTGTAAAATAAGCTGTTACTAATGATGAAGAGCAGCTATTGCAGAATCCAGAAATAGAGCCATACTTAAACACTGACTCCAGTGTTTAAACCCTGTGTTACTTTCTCATATCCTTATACAGTAATAGATATTTTGCTGCCAATTTCTCAGTCCTGGATGTTGAGTATCTGTACAGTGTTTTGAAAACAATCTTTTCTTGTCTCAGACTTTATTTCCAACCTTGCTGGATTCAGACCCTGCAATTCCCAGTATTGTCATAATTTAAACCAGTGATTTTCAATTGTAATGATCAGGAACAAAACACACTTGAAAAATGAGACAAATATTCTCTGTATATCATATAATCAGTATGTAGTAGAAGATTCTGTTGAGTTATCAAGAAGGCTCTCTTGAGATCGGTGTCATTCTACTTTCCTACAGATGCAGTTTCCAGTGGATGATCAGTAAGTAGTCAATGAAATCAATAGAATTTTACCAGCTAACCCCAAGAAACTACTACCGAACTGAGAATTAAATTATAAGCTCATATTTTGTGCTTATTTTGCAACTACCCCCAAGTATATTCTTCCCTATGAACCTTACCTTAGCCGATCATAATTTAGCATTACAAAAGCAAACAACACCATCACACAGAATGCTCTTCTTTTTGGAGGGGAGCCTTTGAGATTCTGATTCTAGACAGGAAAGGAAAAAGTAAAGGGAAAAAAATAATAATCAACTTGCTTCACTTTCAACATTAAAAGGGCCATAAAGGGGCAGCAGCCTAATACTAGCTATTATTGCTCATTTTTCTCATGATTTTGCCACTATTGCAAGTGTCATTTGTGATCTCAATAAACAGGAAAAATTATATGCCTATATGATCTTATAGGGACAGTATGATAGAAAATGTACATGTCCTGATCAACATTCTAAGGATTGCTGAATCAGATATATGTATTGGATGACAAGGGTAGCCAGAATTGCACAAATTACTTTATTAATGAATATTAAGATCTATAGGTAATTCCTGTTTAGTAACTGATTCATTTAGTGACTGCTTGCAGTTACTCTGGTGATACCAGTCCTCGCATTTACAATCCTTGCAAGTCTGTAAAGCAAAGTTGAAATACAATGATGAAATTGTGATGTTTCACTTAGCATTTGCTTCACTTAATGACCAAGTTGCTGGTACCAAAGGGTTGCTAAATGAGCTAATTAACTTAGCTTGCCCACTTTTAATTCAGTTACCATGAATTATGCTATAGGAAAACTCTGGAAAGATCCAAAGAGATGTTGCTGATTGTTCCCACTTCTCACTGAATGTGTGTGCCTAAGCCTTGGCAGCATTTACCATGAAGAGCAACTTTCTTGAGGAAGGTATTTGGCTTGTAGTTCTGGAGGAAACAGATTATCTGGCCATTTTCAGTCTGACATATAGTACTAAGATACCATTAGTCTCATTTGTTGATGACCACAGACTTGGAATAAGGGAAGTGCATCCATCCTGACCCTTCTTGAACACTTACCAATCTTTCATAGCATCACTCATGGTACCCTTTTGGACAGGTAAGGGTTAAGACGGTGTTGTGATGGTATTCCTCCTTCCTCCAAGGGAGAAAGGTCTAGTTCTAGACACTTGCTCTGCGGGGTATCTCATGGGTCTATTCTAACCATAGCAAGTCCAAGAGGCTATTTATTTTGGACCTCTTCAGAAGCTGAATCCAGAAATTTTCCACTGTTTTTTCTGGAAGAGACGGTACTCACAGGATCAGTGTGCAATTTGGGCATTTCCTGGACTCATGGCTCCTGCTTGAAGAACAGGTAGCAGTCATGGCCAAGAGAGCCTTTGCACGATTCTGTCTTTTGTTCCAACTGCATCTCTTACTGGATTGGGAGATCTCATTTATGCTCACTCATACCTTAGTTCCATCCTGGTTGGACAAATGCAATGAGGACAACATGGGGCTACCTTTAAAGGCCATCAAGGAACCTAAATTAGTCCAGGATGCAGTGACATTGGTAATTCACGTAACATTATTGCACAACCTGCAGTAACTCTCAATAGACTTCCAAATGCAATGCAAGGTACTCATTATCATATATAAAGCCATGCATGGCTCAGGCTCACATTATCTGTGGGGTTATTTGTCTCTATTTCTGCCATAGTTGGAAGAGCGTGTTCTAGATCCTTCCTGAGGAAATATCACCTGATGGGAAGTATTCCTTTCCTTGGCAGTGTCCCCCTTTGTAATGATCTTTTCTACCCAGATTTGGATGGCCACAATCCTATTAGTCTTCTAAAAAGCTTCAAAGTCCTAATTTTTCTGCAAGAATTGGGCCAGGTCAATAGACAATCCATCTTCTGGGAGACGGGTTGTATGTCTGGTTGACCTGGCCATATATTGTTTGATATATTGTCTGTGGAATTTGTTCCATTTGATTTTGTATGGTCTTTTCAATCTACAATATCACATTTTCAATGTTTGGCAACACTTAGTTCCACAGAAAGCAATTTTCCATAATTACTGTGCTTACCTCCACTCCCAGTTCATCTAGCTGTCTCTTCAGTGAACCATTCTCTCTTTTAAGATGATCATTTTCTAACAAAGCAGTCTTCAGTCTAGCTTCTAAACTCTGCATATATTCCTTTTTCTTCCTCCGTGACTGACAAGCCGATTCCCGGTTTTTTATCATGCGTTGCTGCCGTTTTAGAACATTCATCTGGGAATAACACATATGATGAAAAAAACTGTTCAAAGCTCAGAAAATTTGCAAAGAAACAGAGCCAACACAAGGCGACTGACAACACTACAAGCTTTTCTTTAAAAGGGGGGGAGGAGAGGGGAAGGATGTAATTATATTGCACAAAAATAAGCATTCCTAAGAATTCTAGAAGATCCCATTTTTCCTGTTACTTGAATTTATATACCGTATTTATTGGCGTATAACACGCACTTTTTCCCCCTGAAAATAGGGGGCAAATGATGTGTGCGTGTTATACGCCGATATAAGCTCTCCGCCGCCCGGCCCCACCTCGGCCCGGGCAGCCACGGCCCTTCCCCGTCCTCCTGCTGCCGCTGCCGCCGTGGCCCTTC